CATAGATGAAGTAGCGAAGACCCTGGAAACCGTAGAGGCGGGTTCGCTTTGAGTACAATTATGTGATGTAAGACGCCAACTAGAACAAGACCGCGACAAGCGTAAAGCATTATATAAGAAATACCATAGGGTTTTCAATGTCGTGGACGGGGCTGACACTGCCCTTATGACAACCAGCATGGGACTAGGGGTGGCAGGTGTTGGGTTATTAACCACCATCGTGGCTGTACCTATAGTGATGGGACTCGAAATAACGGCTGGAGTGACAGGAGTGTTAGGGTTGATACTTAAATACACATCACGCAGACTGCATCGTAAGGCATTAAAACACGACGAGATCAGGGTTCTGGCCGAAGCAAAGCTAAACACGGTGAGTGAGCGTATTTCCACTGCACTCGCTGACAACAAAATCTCAGAGGAGGAGGAGTTTCGTTCGATCCTATCCGAACTCACAAAATATAACAAAATGAAACAAGAGATTCGATCCAAGTCTCGTAAGTCTGCTGCTATCAGTGAGGACGAGAAAAAAAAGTACATAGAACAAGGGGTGAAAAAGGCCCAGCAAGCTTTTATTACAAACACCAAAGAGATCCTAGGCGATTCACGTTAAACTGTTTCGTTGAGGTCAATGTGACATAGTGTCATAGATAAAGTAGACATCAAAGCCGACGAACCTAACTTGTACTACTTAATGGATGGTCCCGGCAGAGGGTTTGTAAAAGAAGAATTATTAATCATACCGTATGACACAGTATTACCTCCTGTCAACACGACATAGAGGCAAGATACCCGGTGGAGTTCGTATCCCACTATAGTAGAGGTAATGGTAGCAAGAGATAAGGGTCCCCAACTAAAGTCTTATTTGTGAAATAAAGCTTTGTAGAGGGGTAGTAGAGGGTAATGGGAAGGGTCCGACTAAAGCTTTATCTATTAAATGAAGCTTTAGATTACCCTGGTCCAGAATTCTCATTCCCTATACTACTTCACGGGTTGTTAACTGACAATGGACTGACGTAGTATGACAATGAGATGCCGGCCCAGATCAACTGGAGCGGACGGACCCCGGCCTGGCTACAAACAAAGGAGCGTATGTGTTCATGTGCAGATGGTGTGGACACATACGGGTAGCATGAACAATGTACTGACTTGTACAGGGATCTTCGCGTTTAGCAAGCCAGCAACAAGACATCAACCCTACAATACTAAACCAACAATGAGACAGTACATCAAGTATATGTATATGGCGTGGGAGGTCAACAGTGTATACACATGATTGAATGAGGGAGTTTAGTTTTACGCCGCACTCAGCAATATTCCAGCTATATGGCGGCGGTCTGTAAATAATCGAGTCTGGACCAGACAATCCAGTGATCAACAGCATGAGCATCGACATGTGTCATCCAAGACAGCGAACTTGACCGCCTCTTACGACAAGCATGGGTTGCTGAAGACCAATTCTAACCCGGATCTTCACGGGTGTATACCCATGAACATTAATTTAGCAGCACTTGAAACAAAGGGATTTTAAAAAAACAATTCGTCCAAACAGGCGATTACATCCCAGCATATATATATATAAGCACGCGCTTCCTAAAATATCTCAAAAAGTTGGCGTTCTGCAAAGGCGCCAAGCATATTGGGGTTTTAATTTCACATTTGAAGAGCTTGGAGGAATAAACCAACATTTTTTCAAATTCGGAAATATGTACACAGAAACGTTCAAGAGTAACCTCCCTTCCTTGGGAACAGCAAGCGTGACTAAACTGCTTTGTGCGTTGCGGCAAATGGACGTTCTTTTTCTCTATCATAAAGTTTTCTCCAGGCAATAGTGGAGTAGGATCAAAAACGTCAGTTTAACCAATCGGAAATCATTATTTTGTTTTGTGAGACCAGAAATGGGCTTCACACATTGTGCCCATGTGGAAACCGAACCCGGGTTTTCGGCGTGACGAGTGAAAGCTTCAACCACTTGGCTACCCCATCGCCCCTTAACTGACTTGAAAGACGACAGTATAAAAACGAATTTCTTAACATGACTGAAAATACACGAGTGAGTGAGTTTAGTTTTACGCCACACTCAGCAATATTCCAGCTATATGGCGGCGGTCTGTAAATAATCGAGTCTGGACCAGACAATCCAATGATCAACGGCATGAGCATCGATCTGCGCAATTGGGAACCGATGACATTTGTCAACCAAGTCAGTGAGCCTGACCACCCGATCCCGTTAGTCGCCTCTTACGACAAGCATGGGTTACTGAAGGCTCATTCTAACCCGGACCTTCAAGGGTGGAAAATACACAATGGCAAAGTCACTGGAAGTGATTGTTATTTTGCAACTTTTATAAAAGATCTAAAATTACATTATAAAATACTGAAACATACCGGGAAAAAGTAAGTGAAAAAGTAAAATCTTTATGTGCATAGTCTTTAACACTTATGACAGCTGTATTATTAATTATGACCTATCAATTTTAACCCCAACACCCTGGTATGTCCATCCACGAGAGACTGTACAGGGGATGTAAAATCGTGGAATTTTATTGCTAATGCATGATGAAAAAAACAGAAAATGAAAATCGAATTCATCTGGCAAGACACAATCCCATGACCCTTGCACTATCAGAAATATCCACACATTTACCATATATTTACCATATTCGATATAAAAAAAACTTCCAAAAAGTATTCAAATCATTGCCTGTCCTATGGGGACCGATAAGGTACCTCGCATTCTCGCCTTCAGTTAGGTGCGCGAGAAGGCCAGACAGCAACAACACGAGACGAGAGGGTGATAACACGAAACGAGAACGCGATATGACGAGACGAGAACTCATTTTCCTCGTTTACTTGTTATCGTTTCCTCGTGACCGTAATTGAACGCGAGAACGCGATGTCCTTTCTCGGCCACCATACTATCTCGGTTGTATACATACCTAAACAGTCATTTCGCAGGAACTACAAACGCTGAACACTGGTTGGTATGTTTATTGTCGGAATGAAACATGTGGATCATAACAAGTTACAGTTGTCCGACATGGTGTGTCCTGACACATGCAAGTTTTAAAGAGGACAGTCATGTGACCTGCCTCCAAAACATTTGAGAGATGCAACATCCCTATCTCTCAACAAGCATTTGACTTCAAAAACCCAACTCTCCAAGGATAGCGATGACTCTCCTGTAGCATCACTGCCACAAACCTTCAGCATCACTGCCAGTAAAAAGGTTTAAATGTGAGGTGGTTGAACACAATGTATATTAGGAGATGAAGAAGAAAAGGAATGACTTATCGCCCGTCAAGGTGATGAACTTGGTGGAAGCACACGGTAGCAAGATGTTTCCTTAAACCTGATCGTCTTTTTGAAATCCTCATGCCGATACGCTCCTCCTCGTTCTAAGGGTCTTTGCCGCCAGTAGCCATTGCTGAAATGGTGATCTACAAATATAGAAATACAAAGACTTTTACGGCAACAGATGGGGAAATATGTGGATTATAACAACAAGTTAAACTTGTCCGACATGGTGTGTCCTGGCACATGTAAGGTTTCTAGAGGACAGTCATGAGACCTGCCTTCTCAACATTTGCAGGGACTGCACGTGACAAAGCCCAGGATGTACCTGTCAGGCCACAAGTATGGTTGGCTGTTGACGCCATCATTTGAAATAGTGCTGGAAAGTATGGTGCAAAGTTAGTGACAAAACAATTTTTAACCATTGACAGTATAATGCCTTCAAATGAGCTAGCTGGTCTGAGGTGTCTGTGACTTGTCAGTGGAGTGACTAAGGTGCAGTTGAGGATACAAAAGCATGCACAGTTAGCCCTAACTGGAATACTTTCAAAGCAAGGGAGGTAACCTAGTTGTTAAAGCGTTCCCTCGTCACTCCGAAGACCCGGGTTCGATTCCCCTTATGGGTGCAATGTGTGAAGCCCATTTCTGGTGTCCCCCGTCGTGATATTACCGGAACATAAAAGCGGGGTAAAACTAAACTCACTCACTCACTCAGGGCACTCTTAAACACAACTTACGCACATTTGAGGGTGAAAATGTCCTTGTTCACTCATTGTTATCTCTCTTTTTATCATCACAATGATACGCGGCAAATTTCACAAAATGGATTCACATATCCCTACCGAAATTTCTGATGCATGATTTGAAGAAAACAAATCATCTTAGGCTCTAGTATTTTAAGAACAGCTGTGTGTACTGTCCCCTACTGGAAGGGTGGGTGTCAGATTCAGTCCACGGAATCTTGCTGAAGGCCAGTTCTTACATCTGACCAAATGATCGTCATAGGGAGTTTGATAAAAGGTGTTTTGTCAGAGCTAATTAAGTGATCTTGAAGGTATGCATTTCTCCCCAACACCCACATTTGTTCTATGATGCCATATGTACAGAAGATGCTAGTGACAAAACCATCAATGCAAGCTGTCAGCCATTTCAACATTATTGATAATACTAAGATCAGTATTTCAGAGATTTCCGTAATTTTCAAATTGGACTTATCCAGTTGTCTAAACACGGCGAAAACACGACCCATATGATATTTGTACTGAATGGCGTCAAACTTGGTGGTGTTTGGACATGCATAAGAGGCGATATTGCCAAAAGAATCTCAAAAACTCTCTATACTAAAATAATTTGAAAGAAATGTTTTTATGAAATATTCAACAGAACATTGATACATTTTTATCATAAATTTTTACCGGTAAGGCCATATATAAAGATATTCTCTCAAAATGTGAATGATAGTTTCACACTTCTAAATTTTGGTTTTCTATCGGAGAAAAGATGTTAATTTCCACAGAAATCAAGGGGTTTTGTCTGGACATAAAATATATTAAATGTAAAAATAAAATCCACCCGCCTGACCATATTTTTTTTTTAAAAAGTGATGAGAAACAAGAATATATATATTTTTTTATGTGGCCTAAAACGGCTACTTCCGAATATTTGGTGTGGTTGTCGAGTTTTCATAATATTTAGAGTTACGGCCCTTAGAAAGATGTCAGCTCCCACAGTGAATGTGCAACATACGGAGTGGGAAATCACTGTGCAGCATCTATATGTAACAAGTTTAAAACAAATATGCATATAGATATTTGACAGTTGTTGTATCACAAATGGGGAAAAAGAAGCAGGCTAAGAGTTTAACTGCCACTGACAAATTAGCGAAAAAAGATGAAAAAGGTTAGTATCTTTCTGTACCGTATTGGTAAGCCGGGCACATTACATTTTTCGGATAGCTAACCTTGTTCTCTGCTTTACTGCTTAACCGAAGGATCGGGAAGGGTACCCGTTCCTAAATACTTTATAGGTATGCTTGATCACGATTGGGATACAAGAGCTGAGGACAGGTAACCTGACATTTGACTCACACCTAGTAGAAGTGACTGGGGTAGTAGACTTATAAAGGAGGTGACCAGTGCCTGAGTAAAGTGTTCAGTCAAACATCCTTCTTGTAAGAAGGACTGTCTGAAGCATCTGTAATATATATGGCGATATCATATAATGACAATTACAGTTCACAGAGGCATTAAACCAAAGTTACGCTGAAGGGGTCGTTGTCGGCACAGGTACTACAGATATGTACCCCAGGTACGTTTCTGTATACAGACATGTACCCTAAACAAAGACAAACTACAGAAACGTACCCGGTACCCTAAACGACTGACGAGTCCATATTCCGCAACCCAAAACCGAAACCGTATGTAGTTGTTCCCGTTCAGCTGATTGCGAGTGGTGTACGTTGTGCACCGTGACATATTTGTTACTGTGTATGCTCTTATATAATGATAGCAAATGCATCTAATACAACAGTATGACCGTTCCGATGAAGAAAACTCCACAATGCAGAATGGAATCATCCAAGGGTACGTTTCTGTATTCTGATTTTGGCTAGGGTACCTTTCTGTATACAGAAACGTACCTTGGGGTACACATCTGTTTTACCCGTGCCGACAACGACCCCTTCAGCCAAACTTACTGATCGCCATTTAGCAATGTTTAGTCCTAACCGGCCTCTATCAGCAGATTAGTTAATTACAAGAAGCTTTCAAGACATGATACTCACAACAAATTTCCAAGATTATTGATCTTACACTCTTGATTTTGTTTCAGCTAAGAAGACATATGCCTTATCTAAGTCTGAAGCATCCACCAGTCATCGGTATGACACAGACGATCAGCCAAAGGTGATTTCTTTTCATCTTTGCTGAGAAAGTGTGCAAGGGTCCATTATTTATCTATGACTCCTAGCTAAGTGCTGAAGGCAGGCGAATTGTGAAATATCTTTATTGTGTTGAAAGTTTTTTTTCAAACATTAGCCTACGAGCAGGGCTACATTAATCCTAGTATTTAACCAAACTAGTTTCTTAGATGTCATTATGTGAATGTGTATAAGTGTAATCTTTGATGATGGTGTTCTCTTAATCTTTCATATCTAAGTCCTTAGGAAGTGTGCTATTGTTTCATAACGCAATGGTCACATGCAACCAAAAAATCAAACATAATTAAAACACAATTATCACTTATTCATGACATATAACATACATTGCTGATTATGAAAAAACATATAAACAAAATTATAAGCGTACAATCGCAAATCAAAAGTGCAATATTTTGTACTTGGGTTTACTTGGCTCAAAACGAAGCACCCGGGATACCGAGCGGGTGGGTGTGCACTCAAGTGTAACGGCTGGTTCATTTGCCGATGCCCTCACGGCTCATTGTGTGTGTGTGTATATAGTATAGAGATGTCGGGTTTTGTAAATACATGCTCATTTTTTGTGTATAACATTTTGCAATCAACAGACATAACATGTCATGTGTACAAGTATCACACCTGCCTGTCTGTGTAATTACATAATGTGACAGAGACCGAACTCGTGCCATAAATCAATGCGTTTTGTTTATGGTGTATAGCCTGATAGGTGTTAAGTTCAAATTGCATGTGGTCAGTGATCGATGTTGTGTATTGAATATTGTCATTAGCAGACAGGCAGGCAGACACATAGGTGTCAATAAAACAGACATTGAGTTTTGTCTGTGACAACGACATATCTATATCACGGTTAGAAATTCTGTCAACGCTAAGTAATGACATTGCTTTTAAGTATCGAACTGAGAAAGTATCTCGGTAAGAAGAATGTGTGGTGAAATAGACAAATGAAATTATATAAACAGTTAAATCGGTAATCTACTGTTATAACATATAAAAAGCTTGCGCCTGTGAAATATCAACAAAACATTAGAAAAATAGCTCACATCAAAGCATTCACCGAGTATTCACCGCCAGCGAAGGTTTTCCGTCTTGAAATGTCGAACGCCTCACTGGTTGACGCATAGCTGAGTAGATCTAGATCCTAACAAGATTCTTTTATGTAATGAGTAGATTATTTACTATTTGTTTTGATTAGACTACTCCTGCTCACGACCTTATAATCCGGACATCCCACTTCCAAGCTGCGCGAACCTATTTCACTGCGCATATGCTATGAGCGCAACCCAGCGCAGCTGTTGAAACCACTTTTCACCCCAAGAGCTGGGGTGAATTTAGTGAATTGTTTGAACTCCGATTTCGCGGGGTTTCTTTCATCGCGTTTTTTTTCAACTTTATAAGTTGAATTTGCATACCGAAAGGTATCAGAATCTGCAGAGTTGTGATTTACGTTGCATGTGACCTTTAAAGTATATATATATATATATATGATGATGGTTTGTAAATACTCTGGAACAGGCAATACAATTATTGACACCATAAACATTTAACCCTGGTATCATGATACATACATCCTTTTCTAAACACTTTGGTCTCAGCCTGAATGAATTGCTCATGACGTCCCTGTGTGTGCAGGTTGTGATACCCGACCGCCTGGAGCAGGAGATAATCGAGATGATCCTAGAGCATCAGCAGGGGGACAAGTACCGCGGAGATGTCTCCAAGAGGCTGTCCACCAAGAAACTCACCGTATGACCTGAAAATCTTATCTAGGGAGGAATTGGGGAACAGAAACTGGTTGCCAGTTCTCAATGATTCGCCATGGAAACTGAAATATCTAAACAGAACTAACATGGCAATCAATTAAGTTGAAGTCCCCTGAAAAGAACTGTGTGTGATATCCCTTTATAATCAACTAAACATGAAATCCCATTGTGAACAACAGAAGGTGAAATCCCCTAATAATCAACTAGATATGACATCCCATTGTATACAGTGGAAAGTGAAATCCCATTATAATCAACTAAAGGTGTAATCCTGTAACACGTAATCAGCAATGAAAATGTAATAGATACAATAACAAATGAACTTGAAGATTTGAATTACTTCATGCATTCCTACCACATAAAGTTGACAATCTGAACAACAATATGTACAACAACCTGTAATGTTGTTTAAAGGATCTGTGTAACCTGTAATGCTGTTTCTAGGATCTGTACAACAACCTGTAATGTTGTTTCTAGGATCTGTACAACAATCTGTAATGTTGTTTCTAGAATCTCTATCACAAGCTGTAATGTTGTTTCTAGGATCTGTATCACAAGCTGTAATGTTGTTTCAAGGATCTTACAACAACCTGTAATGTTGTTTCTAGAATCTATATCAAAGCTGTAATGTTGTTTCTAGGATCTGTATCACAAGCTGTAATGTTGTTTCTAGGATCTGTACAACAACCTGTAATGTTATTTCTAGGATCTGTAACAACCTGTAATTTTGTTTCTAGGATCTGTACAACAAATTGTAATGTTTCTAGGATCTGTACAACAACCTGTAATGTTGTTTCTAGGATCTGTGAAACCTGTAATGTTGTTAGGATCTGTACAACAACATGTAATGTTGTTTCTAGGATCTGTATAACAACCTGTAATGTTGTTTAGGATCTGTACAACAACCTGTAATGTTGTTTCTAGGATCTGTAACAACCTGTAATTTTGTTTCTAGGATCTGTACAACAACCTGTAATGTTGTTTCTAGGATCTGTAACAACCTATAATGTTGTTTCTAGGATCTGTGAAACCTGTAATGTTTTTCTAGGATCTGTACAACAACCTGTAATGTTGTTTCTAGGATCTGTAACAACCTATAATGTTGTTTCGAGGATCTGTGAAACCTGTAATGTTTTTCTAGGATCTGTACAACAACCTGTAATGTTGTTTCGAGGATCTGTACAACAACCTGTAATGTTGTTTCTAGGATCTGTACAACAACCTGTAATGTTGTTTCTAGGATCTGTAACAACCTATAATGTTGTTTCGAGGATCTGTGAAACCTGTAATGTTTTTCTAGGATCTGTACAACAACCTGTAATGTTGTTTCGAGGATCTGTACAACAACCTGTAATGTTGTTTCTAGGATCTGTACAACAACCTGTAATGTTGTTTCTAGGATCTGTAACAACCTGTAATGTTGTTTCTAGGATCTGTACAACAACCTGTAATGTTGTTTCTAGGATCTGTACAACAACCTGTAATGTTGTTTCTAGGATCTGTACAACAACCTGTAATGTTGTTTCTAGGATCTGTACAACAACCTGTAATGTTGTTTCTAGGATCTGTACAACAACCTGTAATGTTGTTTCTAGGATCTGTACAACAACCTGTAATGTTGTTTCTAGGATCTGTAACAACCTGTAATTTTGTTTCTAGGATCTGTACAACAAATTGTTATGTTGTTTCTAGGATCTGTGAAACCTGTAATGTTGTTAGGATCTGTACAACAACCTGTAATGTTGTTTCTAGGATCTGTACAACAACCTGTAATGTTTCTAGGATCTGTAACAACCTGTAATTTTGTTTCTAGGATCTGTACAACAAATTGTAATGTTGTTTCTAGGATCTGTACAACAAATTGTAATGTTGTTTCTAGGATCTGTGAAACCTGTAATGTTGTTAGGATCTGTACAACAACCTGTAATGTTGTTTCTAGGATCTGTACAACAACCTGCAATGTTTCTAGGCTCTGTAACAAGCTGTAATGTTGTTTCTAGGATCTGTGAAACCTGTGATGTTTTTCCTAGGATCTGTACAACAACCTGTAATGTTGTTTCTAGGATCTGTACAACAACCTGTAATGTTGTTTCTAGGATCTGTGAAACCTGTAATGTTGTTAGGATCGGTATAACAACCTGTTATGTTGTTTCTAGGATCTGTGAAACCTGTAATGTTGTTTCTAGGATCTGTACAACAACCTGTAATGTTGTTTCTAGGATCTGTGAAACCTGTGATGTTGTTTCTAGGATCTGTACAACAACCTGTCAGATGCTGGGTTCTCTCAGAAGCAGATCGAGGCAGCCATGAACAACACTGTGGCACACGGTGGCGACCTCATCAGCGCCCTTGACTGGCTGTGTCTCAACACAAAGAATGGTAGGACACTTATTATGCCACTATCCTTCAAAGGTCAAGGCATATAAAATACCAGGAATGCTGTGGATCCGTTCTTCTCTAAGACATTGTTGTTCAACCAATACCTTGAAATATTATTGATTGGATTGTCTATAAATTTGGGGACCAAAATTCTTTGTCAACAGGAGAGGTGGAGTGCTGTTTTTTTAAGGATTGCAGCAATGTAAAACTTTGAACTTTAAAAGGTTTGCTAAACCTGAAAACTATTGGTGAAACTATTGTTTTCATATTTAGAAAACAGCCTTGTTTGTCTGAAGAAAAAGTGCAGTGCAAAATGTGGCTGCGATTTTCAAATTTTCAGAAGAGTTCTTGTCAAGTTACATACTTGAACTAAAACAGAAGGCAAGGGAATTGTTGTACAACCAATAACTTGAACACATTTGAATGAATTGTTTACCAACTTGGGGGCAACCCTCCATATCTATAGGAGAGTTGCTGTACAAAGGTATATTTCAATGTTTTTAATTTATCAAGAATTCCCACAAATAACATCTCTTGAACTTCAGGCTACATATCCACTACAGTTACAATACTTGGTTGACCAGAAATACACTTGATGGGTTAGCCTAGTGGTTAAAGCATTCACAGAGGCAGCACACCAAGGTCCTGGACAGACAGGATGGGTAGTGTTGACAGAACACTATATAGGTACATCTGAACATAGGTCCCCAGCACCATCTACACATACATCTACAGCTCCCAGTACAGATCCAGGGGAGGTGGCGGTAGCCTAGTGATTAAAGCGTTCGCTAGTCACGCCTAAGAACCGGGTTTGATTCCTACATGGGTACAATGTGTGAAGCCCATTTCTGGTGTCCCCTGCCGTGATATTGCTGAAATATTGCTAAAAGCGGTGTAAAAGTAAACTCACTCACTCACTCAGTCACAGCTGCCTCTCAACTCAAGTGTTTGAGATATGGGGAAATGTGCAACCGTAAAGCACCCTCCTGTGATCACTATCATACAAAGATGCAAAATTATCCCACAAAATACAGTGAATAGTTGCTGTGTGCAAACCTACATTACCTCTGCTTCAGACGAACTCCCGGAAGGGTTCTCCCAGACCTTACTGCGTGAGGAACAGAAACGAAGACCCCAGTTTGATGCCTCTCTTCAAGCCCTGCCCCCAACTACAGGCCCTGCAACAAGTAGTGAGGCACAGTCCATAGCAACAGCAGTGAGTTGCGATTAGTGGGTCTGTGGTGGCCCTGACAGAGGGGCAGGAACAAGGAATGACAGGGGCGGATCCGGGATTTGGGGGAAGGGGGGTGCACATATATCAAAAGGTTAAGGGGTTAGTCCAAAGGTTAGTTGGAAAAGCTCCTCAGGAAAATAGTTTTTGGGGGGTGAGTGGGTGAGGGTCCGCCCCAGAAAGACATCCTGTTGTCTGAAACACTTTGATTTTGACAAATGTACAAAAAAATCATTGAATAATATAATTTTACTTGATCCTAATATGTGGTGACATGTTTGCCTTTGGCCTAAAAACATAGGATAAAGACTAAAATGCATCAAATGGATGTATTCTTGGTCAATTCTCACTGGATATGGATGGTGCGTGTGATTGGCCACATGTGATGGTCACTGGCTGATGGTTGAATACTGTATTATCATAGTTATGTATCACAAAGCCTTATCTTACCTCACACGTCAATGTTGTCTTCTGACTGGCTGAACTCTCTTTTATTATTTACAATGTACCCTGCTTACAAGTGAGTAACATTTCATATGTTACCTGCTGGGAATGCCGAACTGTGGGAATTCATTTGGTACTTTGTGTTAGTAATTCTTTATCTTGAATAATTTAGTCATGTATGGTGTACGAAAATTTCCGATGTTTTGCGAATGCCAATCAATTGGATCGAGATAACTCTAAATTTGTTTTTCTTGTCGTCTGCTAGATTCTATGTCATCTGAAAATCTAGTATTGGCAAATTGCCTAACTCTGGTACTCCTTATTATGATTCGATACCTGTGCTTCAAACAGTTCAAAATTAACATTGAGGTGTCCGTAAGATAAATACGTTGTTCACTGGTCTATTTGGGCTCAGGGAACATAAGCAAACACAGAGGGGACATCAACCCATGTCCCCCCTCGTGACCAGTGAACAACTTATATTGTACCATTTCTGGCAACAAGAATAAGAACCTTTTATATGCTCTTAAAGTCATATATACTGAACCACGTACTGAATGTCGTCCAGTGGTGACATGTATGATGTAGTCCTCTTTGGTGGCAGCATCATGGCTGAGGCACTTACCTAATTCATGTGTATAACAGTCGTAACAACTGTTCCTTGATTTACATTTGGGTTTCTTTAGGAAGAAGCGGTTGGTAAATCAGACAAATCTGTCGCCCCTGAACAGAAATCCTCGATGAAAGATTGGATTCTTAACTATGCTGAGTTTTCTGATGACTCGGAAGAGGAACAGGAGGAGACAGAAGAAGACCCAGTGAGTTAATGATTTTGTTCCCAACTCCAGAGCTAAATCTAAAAATGTCCACTAGACTTTGAAGAATAGTTATTTATCTTTAATATTGCAATCTTTGTGAGTATAATCTCAGCCCATAGTCCTTTCAAGGGGTGGTGGGGTAGCCTAGTGGTTAAACCGTCCGCTTGCAACGCTGAAGACACGGGTTCACTTCCCCATATGGGTACAGTGTGTGAAGCCCATTTCTGGTGTCCCAGCTGTGATATTGCTGGAATATTGCTAAAAAAAACCATGCTTACTCTCTCATAGTCATGTCAAACGTGGATCACAGAGTGTCATTGTCGTGCCAGATGCTTTGTCCCTAATGGCCGTGAACAGTAGTATAGTCTGTACCATGTACACTCCAGAACGAGCGCTACCTTACTATGACGGCCAAGTTGCTGGACGCCAAGAGTCAAGCAGCCCAGGCTAAACAAGACGCTAACAAGACTCAACAGAAGGAGCTGTCCAAGAAGATCAGGGATATTAGACGAGGTACAACATCATGTTTACATCTTTTGCGAAACTATAAGTATATCAGTGTATTCTTGTTATGTCAGCACAAATAATTTTGTATTAAGATAATCAGCCATGAAGTTCCCAGTAAGAATTAATCTTCAGCAACCCACGTTTGTCGTAAGAGGCTGTTTACAGGATCAGGTGTGTTCAGGTGATTTGGTTAATGCATGTCATGGTATCTAAAGTGCATGCTCACTCACTCTATTATTTGATTGTCTGGTTAGGGTGTGATCATTTTGAGACTGCCATGAAGGAGTTGAAATATTGGTTCCCTGACTCTATTAAATGATCTTAGATTTTGGCAGTCATCTCAACATAAAGGGGTGGTGGGGTAGCCTAGTGGTTAAAGAGTTCGCTCATCACACCGAAGACCCAGGTTCGATTCCCCACATGGGTACAATGAGTGAAGCCCATTTCTGGTGTCCTCTACCATGATATTGCTGGAATATTGCTAAAACTGGCTTAAAACCAAAATCACTCACTCACTCTTCACTCACTCACTCTCACTCACTCACTCACTCACTCACTCACTCACTCACTCACTCACTCACTCACTCACTCACTCACTCACTCACTCACTCACTCACTCACTCACTCACTCACTCACTCACTCACTCACTCACTCAGCAGTCTCTAAACTGAAAGGTAACAGTCACTGAATTTTGACATCTGTATCCAGTCCAATGCTTAAAGCATCCACTTGTCACACCTAAAACCCAGATTCGATTCCCCTCATGGGTACATTGTGTGAAGCCCATTTCTGGTGGCACCTTACATCATATTGCTGGAATATTGCTAAAGGCGGCGTAAAACTAAACTCACTCACACACTGAAATATTAACTAAAACCCAACAAATCACAATACATGTTTTAATTCAGAAATGGATTCTCTTGAACTTGAACCTGGATTTAACCCAGCTGTAAAAATTAAAGATATTGACCAAGAGAAAATGGGGGCATCCGGATCAAGCCAATCAAAAGGTTCCAGCTCCCAGAATGACACATCAGATTCCAGCAGGGCTGCGAGTAGCCAATCAACAGCCAGCAAATGTGAAACAAGCAAATCAGCAGAAGGGGATGTTTTTAACTTATCAGGGTTTGCAGCCATGGAGGAAAAGGCAACAGTTGCAGACACACCAGTAAAAGGTAAGGAAAATCCATGCTATAGAGTCATATTGCCAAGGCCAACTTTTGAGTGAAAAAGTTTTTGATTGTTGTGAGTTCTTTGCATTTTGTCTGTCATCCTGTCAAAAAGTTACCTCTTGAGTAGCAACCATGGAAATATGGTTTCGGTTCCCTACATGGGTGAAGCCTATTTCTAGTGTACCCCGCCGTGATATTGCTGGAATATTGCTAAAAGCGGCGGAAAACTGAACTCACTCACTCAGTCTTGTCCTGGCTTTGTAGAGCAGTCTGCTGTGACAAGACTGACATTCTGCCCAGTAGGACACTCAACCAGGCACTCACTGTCTCGGAATATTATTTTGAGCAACAGTGGAAGTATCAATGATACATATTTTTCCTTATCCTGACTCATGCTTATTGCTTGTCTTCTTCTTCTTGCGAACCTAGTGGAACACGTGTATCTCCCAATTGAAGTCACCTTCAATAAAGAAATCACTCATTAGTACTCACCACGAGTTACCTCCCTTGCCCAAGCGCGTGAACGAGGGCGCCACCTCAACCCATGTGCCTCACTCTCTCCTTCTTCGCCCAGTGAGCTGGTCATGAGAGCACCTGTGTCTCCCGACACACTATATCCTTTATTTATATTTAGTTTAGTACCTTTTATATTCATTTATAGAGGTGTTACTAGTATCCTTATTCAACTTGCATTGATTATTAGTCGTGTTTCTGCTGTTTTATTCATGGTTCGCCGTGTTTGTTCAGCAGTTTACGTTAATGATAATCTACACAGGTTGTAAACTACGTTATTCAGCTGCCGATCCACATTTAAAATGCCCTAGTTGCATTACTCCATGTTCTATTGTTTCTCGTTGTAAATTATGTTTTAATTTACCAATTTCTGCCTTTGATAAATATCTATGTTCCGTTTTGAGACGGAAGGCAGATAAATCTCACAAACAATCTTCAGTCATGGCTATTAGATCAGAAGCTAATATTCCCTGTCAATGTTGACTGACGTCCCGCCACCGGCTGGTGGCATGCCTGAGTTCCCTCGGGGAATAGCGTGGGACGCAGTCTGCTATGTCCAAGAAGCGACCTGCATCTCAAGACCTGCCGTCTTCTCAGTCTAAGACTAGGAAAACGTCCATTTCATCACATAAGTTTCGAAACCCCAGGTCTACAGCTACGTCAAAAGGGAAATCTACAAAATCTAATAAATTTGCCTCCGATAGTTTACCTATCACAGAATTATCTTTATATGATGATGACATTCCGATTATCATTCCAGATGTTCGTCATAAGAAACATCCTGTTTCTGTGACTGTTACCTCAGCGCAGATTAGCACGCTACCAGAGATGCCTACGCTGTCACCAGAGATTATGACTGAGGGTCCCGTCACTTTCACAGAGAGCACCCTCATCGTCAGCGCATACCGCCTCAGACGACCTGGTCAACCAAATCATGAGGCTGATGGAAGACCGTTACGGTTTACAGAGGCCCCAGAGCCACGGGCCCCAGAGCCCACCCCATATTAAGTCATACAGGGCCCCAGAGCCCACAGACGCGCCTCCGCGAAGGGCTTCCCAGCCCGGAGCGAGCCCTTGCATAGGAAGCCCCAGGCCACCTCCGCGAAGGAGCTAGAGCCTCACCTATTGCTAGTGGCCGGCTGGGAGAAGGAGCGCCGCCGAGCACGCACCTTGTAATTCACAGAGGTCGTTCGCGAGGCAAGCGCTCATATGTCGATACGGACACTGACTCGATACATTCGCGAAGGTCGCGAAGGCTAAGTGGCTCCAATTCTACATCGCCTAGAAGAGCTTCGTGAAGCCCCCAGCGTTCGCGAAGCCCCCAGTGTTCGAGAAGCCCACAGCGTTTGCGAAGCCCTCACCGTTCGCGAAGCCCCCAGCCTTCGCGAGGGATGTCTTTTCCAAGGTCTCCGTACACTAGCCACTCGTCAGTCCATTCTCCACAGTCCTCTCATAGATCTTCCTATAGATCTAGGACTCCGACATATGACCATACGTCAGAAGAGGAGGATGGTATCATTTTCTCAGATGCTGAGATAAGATATATCCCCGGCATTCGCCGAGGAAGTCTCCTCCAAGGTCTCCATATACTAGCCACTCGTCATATATAGCCACTCGTCAGTCCGTTCAAGACATCGCATGAGTTGTCTATCAACTGTATGCCATATCCCGTCTACAAGCCTACGCGAAGACAATTGCACAGGCTATTTACAACACAGAACGTTGCTATATTAATTTATCAACAGATGAAGAGCCTAATTAAGGATCTTCAAGCCGACTACCTACATCAAGGGCATCAACGACATTTCGTAGATCTTCACAGGAATCAACATTTCCGTATAGATTGCTAGGTATACAATCCCGGACTACGATACGATTATCTACATGCGTGACCTTTACGCAGATCTACAGACAATTCAATAACGAAATTGAACAACAGCCTTGTTACAGCGAGTAAAACTCATAATCGTCAACAATTCCTGAGAAGAAATATGTACAACAAGTTCAGCTTTAACAGTCTACAAGCTGACAACTTGCAAGTTTTATTGAACCTTATATAAGGAAGTCGGAATTATCTTCAAGACTGAAGTTATTTTCACGACAGCCTGGAAAATAACCTACCCAGCATTAATATTACAGTGACAGAGCCTGATGGGGTTACGCACTTCAGCTCAAGACATGACAGGCAGAGGCAGACTACTATTACATCCGTTACAAGTCATCATCAATTCGCTAGATGAATCTCTACCGTTCAATTTACCGGTTCATGTCAAACCTCATCTACTATGGTGGACCAAGAGATCGAATGTTTGAATAGGCGTCTCGTTAATAGAGCTGGAATCGATAACACTTCTCTACGTAGATGTGTCACTACAAGGTTGGGGAGCCCATCTTGCCAACAGGACGGCATCAGGGCTATGAGCAATCAAGAGAGCATATTACACATAATCTGCTAGAGATGCAAGCAGTAATAAACGCCTTAATGCACTGGAGCAACTTACTACAGTATACCCAGTGGATGATTCACACAGTCAATTCGACAGTGGCGCTTTTATGTGAACAAACTAAGCTCAACCAGGTCCCGAACCTATCGACTTCTATGTTTTCAATTGTTCGATTTAATCGACAATCTCAACATACATGTCAGAGCATATCACATTCCAGGAGCAAAGAATGTGATAGCAGACGCTTTCTCTCGGCCACACATACCATCGCCGACAGAATGAATGCTCCATACAGAGATATTCACTCAAATTATCAAGGAAATAGAAACTACACTAATAGACCTATTTGCCACCGATTCAACAAACAACTGACAACATTCAGATCGCCAGTTCCAGACCCACTAGCTTTGGCAACAGACGCACTAAGCATATCGTGGGAAGGACTCAACTTGTACGCTTTTCCGCCACCAGCGTTAATCTCACAAGTTTACTCAAAATCAGTCAAATGCAGAGCCTCCATCTGAATTTGGTCACGGCCTACTGACCATGCAGAACGTGGTTTCCAACTCTTATTCAAGAAATCGGACAACCAATACTACATCTTACTGAGTGCTCGAATCTGTTAATACATCCGCACACCAAACAAGCACACGGAAAGCCAGATATATTCCAACTTCACGTATGGATTGTATCAAGGCGTGTCTGAATAACAAGTTATTCAGCCAGAGCGGCAAAGCAGTCTAGCTTGCCCTGCGTAACTCAACTTGCAACTTATACGATGACAAATGGCACAGTTTGTCAATTATGCTGCAAAGGAAGGATTTACAGCTAGATATGCTACTCATCCTCAAGTGGCTGACTACTTATGTTATCTACGTCAGACTAAGATTTTATAAGGCGCAACTTGTCCACCTATCTTGCAGCATAACCTAAACCCAGTTACTCCCCTTGCTACGAGCTTTCCGATTGGAGGATTAAAACGGAAGTTCACGCTCCAACTTGGGATCTGAATATAGTGCTCCAACACCTCACAAGTGAGGTTTATGATCACACTTAGATGATATACTTGGACCCCATGATACGATGAATCTATCACGATGGCCAGTAAGAGTACTGAAAAGATATCTCCACCTATCCAAACAGGAGGGAAAAATTCAAGAGATTTATTTCCTCTATCAACAAGCTACGCAGACTGAAGTCTCATGTACTACGATCTCCTTTTAGATCAGAACTGTCATACTACGTGCCTACAAGACTGCAGGACCCGACCCTCCAAGAGCTTCTAATCCTCATGATATTAGAGCGCTAACATCTACACTTGCTATACACAAGTGCTATTGATATACCGTAATGGAGGGTTATTTCTGGAGATCCGATATGGTGTTTGCCAAGCACTATCAGAGATATCACCACCGAGGACGTCTCAGGTATCCACCAATTCGGTCCCATGGTCCTCGCACAACAGTTGACAGTTCCTCGGAGAAGATAAGTCAATCTTACAGATTTCTACTTATCTTATAACAGTACTAAATAGCTACATGCTATATATATTTTGCTTAAGTTCTTTTATTATCTTAAGCTCAGTACTATGGTTATTATATCATACAATATATAAGCTAACAACTCTACAGAGTTTGTTATTATATATTTAGCTTAAGTTAATCATATCTTAAGCTCAGTACTATGGTTACATTATAAATGTATTAGCTAACAAACTCTACAGAGTTTTTGCTATTATATATGTAGCTTAAGTTCATTATATCTTAAGCACAGTACTATACTCATATCATAAAAATATATTAGCTAACAAACTCTACGGAGTTTTTGCTATTATATATGTAGCTTAAGTTTATTCATATCTTAAAGCTCAGTACTATGTTTATATCATATAAGTATATTAGCTAACAAACTCTAAAGAGTTTTTGCTATTATATATTTAGCTTAAGTTTCATCATATCTTAAGCATTATGGTTACATTATAAAATATATTAGCTAACAAACTCTACGAAGTTTTGCTATTATATATATAGCTTAAGTTTATTCATA